ACAAAAGCCCATGTTTCCTCTTCATCTTGATCACATTATTCCACTAAACCTCTAATTGTGAGTCATTTATTCAATTTTTCTTTCTAAAAAATATCATACATCTTGTATTCTGTCATTCTTAGAATTCAAGAGAGAAAAACAAGGAGACTTCTTAATCCCACAGCCTCCGTTAATGAAATGCAGGATTGGGGAAATCAATCTTAGAGCAATCCATTACCATCATCAGCCCAACAAACACACTTTCTTGCTTCACTGGCCTCTTCCTACTTAGGAAATGTTGAACCTCAGACCCAAGATGTAATTGGAGTCTTTCGAGACCTAATGTCCCCAGTTAGAACATCTATCATTCTATGATCCAGCAAAACCATATGCATCTTGCTGGGTCTTCCTGTATCTCAGCTGCAGGGCCATCCCCAAATGAGGTTAAAATTGCCTAAGAGGTTGAATTTTCATTTGACCTTTTCTTGTTAAGCCTTTGAAGCCAGTTGCAAAATCCACATTTTGTGCAGGTATCCTCAGTATCTGTACTTAGCTGGTCTAAATTATACAGCTCCTTGCAAATCTATTACTCACACACTGGCATCTCTTTCAGCTTACTATTACATCATAGGAAACACACAACTATGCTAATTTTCACTTTAGACCTGTTTCATCTTACTATTTCTCTCTCCAAAGGATTAATTACCCTGAATGCTGGTTAGGTAAACCCTAAACCAGTGTCATATGCAAATTTTAAACCAATGGCTACCTTTGAAAAATAAAGTCATGTCTTGTCCATCCTCTTTACCCCTGATATAAGTGGCATAGTTTCCCCCTTGCAGTCTCTTTCCAAAACAGTGCTGTTCACTGCTTGCTTCTTGCTTCAGAGATTTATTGTACCAGGCAAGTAGCTTCTGATTCAGTGCTAAGGATACACTGTGTGTGTCTGTTGCCCAGTCATGTCCAACTCTTTGTGACCCCAAGAACTGTAGCCTTCCAGGCTCCTCTGTCCGTGGAATTTTCCAGGCAAGAATACTGGAGTGGTTTACTATTTCTTTCTCCAGGGAACCTTCCCAACCCAGGGCTAGAACCTGCTTCTTTTATGTCTCCTGCATTGACAGGAAGGTTCTTTACCACCAGCGCCACCTGGGATACACATGAGGATTTAAAGATTTGCCCTTTTAATTCCTCATTGTCTTCAAACCAGGCCTGGACAGTGCAGTCCTTTTGTCGTGGCCAACGTCTGGATGGGAGAAAAGCCCAGAAACCTGGCACCAAATTGCAACATCCCATCAAAGCCGATGCTAGGAAAGAGACCGTGGACAGCAACATGAAAGGGTCAGGAGAACACTTTCCCAAAGGGGTTTCAAGTCTAATTCACAGCTGTCAAGGATGTATTATGCAATGGGGAACACCCTACCGCCTCACAAAAAGAATGTGTCATTTTGCAAAGCCACTCTCCAAATATGTGCCGTTATACGTTACATTCTTGCTCCTGGCTCTACTAAATCAGTTCTTTTGAAAAGCAACTTAAAAAGACACCTGCATGAGAAAATGGAACTGACTGTCATCATTGGCGGAACTTATTTCAAATGGTATTATTAGGTCACTAAACAAAGGGAGCCTTTTTCCTCCCCCTGTGTGGGAAATCCGGTGGGGAAAGATGAGTGCATTTTGTAAACTTCAGCCGTGGTGGTTAGGATTTCTGATCCAGCAAATGTACCTAAGCCTGCATCTTGATCCCTGCTAAGTGATCTTGCAGCTCATCTCGTAGATTGCTCTAGGCACCTCTGACATACTTTAATACCGAAATGCAAATTAGACACCCCCGCCAACCACCTCCACTCTGTCATGTTGCCCTAAATTTGGACTTTACTTGCCTTGCTACACGTGAGCTGCTCTTTTCAATCACATGCCATTTCCCCCATAAAGCATTGTCGAAAGGGAAAAAGAAGATGTTGTGTTGTCCTAAAGTCACCCAATCTGAAGCAAGCTGTAGGCTCAATCCCCTCATGAAAGGCTGCAAGAACTCAGAGAGCCCACTCTGGCGAGCATTTAGCCATTGGGTAGCCTCTCCTCCCAGGCCAGCTGTGAACCTCAGAATTTCTAGAGCAGGAGATAAACCTGAACATCTGGAGCAGGAATGAGGTGCCCATCAGACTCAAATAAAACCCAAAGTCATTGGAAAGTCTGAGAAAATCCACTGCTTTGGCTCTCTGGGGTAATTAGCTACATGGGTAAGTAAATGATCATTTGAAATCCACACCCGCCAGAGAGTTATTAAAAGCAGGAGCCACATGAAATTCATCTAACTAAAGACAAGCTTGAGGAGAAGGGAGGGGAGATCCAGTCCTCTACACAAAAGGAGCTTCTGTTCAACTTTATTAAACGTTTTAAGTAGATTTAAGTTTGAGTCAAAGGACCAATTCCCACTCTCTGAAGAGAATACTCCCGAGAAGCTGGGAGATGAGTTAGGGAGTTTTTCGCCCAGAGGACGGAGCTGCATGTGACCCGAGCAGGGAACCCGCGTGGGAAGGAGGAAGGTAGGGGAGCTGGATTGAGGCAGGTGGCAGCAAAGGGAGGTCAAGGTGTGAGACGATGCAGGATTTTATCAACATTAAAGGAAGGAGGCAGAGTTCTTGGACCAGTCTGGCAAGGCATCTGACGGATGCTGGGGGGCAGGGCCGTGGCTGCAGAACTGCCCTAATTACAGGTTCAGCAGAAATGAGGTTGTGATCCTAATGATGGGTGAGCTCTGGGATACTTGCTATCTCCCTGAGGACCCACAGTTAAATGAACACCACCAAGCTGAGGCATTCTAGAAAGCTCCAGATGCTGAGCAAGGAGACTCTGCTGAAGATGGGGTGACAGCCAGAGGGGGAACCAGCGGAAATTTCCCCACTCCTGAAGAGTCCCCTTTAGCCAACCTGATCGAACATAGGGAGGACCCTGGGCTGCCCAGGTTTCCAAGCCCTTCTACATGAACCTATTAAGTTGTATATAAAAACCCCACTCCACACAGTTGTTCCTGCTATTCGCAAGCAAGATGAGCTGGTGCAAACAGAGAAGCTTCTGAAATCTCCGCTGAGTCTGCAGAAAGCCCCTCATGTGAGCATTCAGGACCAGGAAGCCCAGCTTCCTGGCCTTGCCCCCCACCCTCACCCCCGCCCTCCACCTCTTTCTCCTTCTCTGGCACCCATCGTTCACATGGACCAGGAAATTCCATGTGCCATTTGGACATCAAGACCCACTCAAGTCCTGACTCTACCCTTCACGAGCTGGTAGCTTTGAGCCAACTGATCTTGACCTGTGCCTCAGTCTCCTCATCCATCAGTTGGGAATCATAACAGCACCCACTTATTCCCAGATGGCACTAGTGGAGAAGGACCCCCATGCCATTGCGGGAGACATGAGACCTTCAGTTGGGAAGATCCCCTGTAGGAAAGCACGGCAACCCACTCAATATTCTTGCCTGGAGAATCTCATGGACAGAGGAGCCTGGAAGGCTGCAGTCCATAGTGTCACACAGAGTCAGACACGACTGAAGCAACTTAGCACGCACATGGTAATTCTATTCTAATTCATGGGGTTGTAAGGAAGTTCAAATAAGACAACTAGGTACCCCGCTTGGTTCTAAGGATGCTGCGCAAACAGGAGCTGCCATGGCGGTCACCGTTGTTGCTACTGGAATAACCCTGCCTTCCCCTCTTCCACCCATACTTGCCCTCTTCCTTGCCCTTGGCTCCATCCCAAACCCAATTCCTAAATCTCATAACGCTTTGCCTGCTCCGTCTTCCTGTCATGCTTATATCAAAAGTCACCCATCAGAGAAATGAAACCAGGAAAGAGGCATTTTTTTGCTGAAGTTGTTAATTTTACTGTATATATGTATGTATATATATGTAAGTCATTCAGTCATGTCCGACTCTTTGTGACCCCATAGACTGTAGCCCACCAGGCTCCTCTGTCCATGAGATTTTCCAGGCAAGAAATACTGGAGTGGGTTGCCATTCCCTTCTCCGGGGATCTTCCCAACCCAGGGATCAAACCCAGGTCTCCTGCATTGCAGACAATCCTTTATATCAAAAATCACCCATTAGACATATGAAAGCAGGAAAGAGGCATTTTATTTTTGAAGTTGCTAATTTTACTGTAGATTTCCAAAAAAGGTTCACCCGTCTGTTAAAAAAAGAAGACAGACAAAATAAAAGATCTAAAAAGTAACGATTTAAGTGCCAACCAAAAGGAAATGAAAGTGGATTTGTCTTGGTTACCAAGTACAAATTAGAAGGTGATGCTATACAATACCAAATCTGCCTTTTTGTAAAGACAGAGAATACAATCTTTTTAAAAATACAGTCAACATTCAGTTTGCCCCCCAACAAACTCTCCTCTGCGTAAACAGATGCAGCGCAGTGACTTTCAGTTGAAAACTGTAGCCCCTCTTCCCCCAGGGTCTCTCCCATGTTAGACCCACACACCCATACACACAGATTTCTCGTGGTTCATTGGACTTGCATTTCTCTCCTGGTTTTACTCTGATTAACTGCAGATGTAGTTTGTACAGGCAAGGTTTCCACAGGACCAAGCAATGCAAACCTTCCCTTGCTTCTCTTCCGAGGCTGACTTTCACCAGATGGCCAGCCTGCTCACATTCTGAAAGGCACCCATCGAGGAAGACATGTGAAGACCCACACACCGCAAGAGGACAAATCTTTGCAAGAGACTAAAAACACTCACTCAGCCTTCTCTCCTGGGGTCTAAATCCCAAAGCACTTTCCAACTCACAATTCAATCAGAAGCAAACAATGAATCCCTTTCATTTTGAATTTGTAAAAGTTGCAACTTAACCAATTTTTGCACTTGCCGTGCAAACCCAGATAGGAACAGAGTCAGTCTTCCAGGTAAATAGCTCCAGGGTCGACGTGCTCTCACCACTCAGAAGACCTTCACCTTTTCTGAGTGTAACTTTGCCCCATCTCACCCCCAGGCTTCCCTCCCAGAGTGGAAGCCCCACTCACCTCACTCATGATGCTGTAACAACGGGCAGCTCCGTATCCCCACCGGCCACACGGAGAGCACTGCTCAGGGGTCGCTGCTCCCCGTTCTGGCTTTTCTCTTAAAAAGGGCTGCCGGGTGGCATCATGCTTCCTCTGAGCCAATGAGATTCATTCACCTGTCTGAACGCCTGGCAGATATCGGAGAGCTCCCAGGGCCACCTAGTGGAGCAAAGGAGAAAGGCAGGCTGGGTCAGGGCTCCAAGCCCCGCCAGGGAGGGAAAGAAAGGACAGATGACAAGATAGTCCAAGTAGGAAGCACAGAGATCACAGATTTGTCACTCTTCATAATTCCAAGGGGTACGGGATTTAGATATGTGGAAAATGCACTTTCAATGTCAGCGAGCAGAAGGTTTGTTTTTGGAAGGAAGAGAAGTTCTGAAAATCCTGATGCCAGTCACCCGACAACACCCAGGTTTGCTTGGGAGGCGCCTGCGCTTTGTAGCACAATCTCAGCTTTCAGAGTTGAACATTTTCTGCTCCTCCTTCTCCAGCGCCAAATCTGCCAGCCTGCCTGCGCCCCAGGTACTCATCTCCGGCAGGAGGAAGTGAGAAGTTAGGGTCATAGACTTGGAGAGCCACACTGTGATTCCTCAGAGGAGAGCATCCCCCTCTCCCCAGCTATGCCTGTGGGTATGATAGCCTCACCAGTGCTGGAGAAGACTTGGCTTTGACCCTGGAATCTGCCCATCCAGCCTGGCAGTGAAGATCCTTTTGCCTAGGTCTGGACTGCTAAGCTGAAGCTCCAATACTTTGGCCACCTGATGCGAAGAGATGACTCATTGGAAAAGACCCTGATGCTGGGAAAGATTGAAGGCAGGAGGAGAAGGGGACAATAGAGGATGAGGTGGTTGGGTGGCATCACCGACTCAATGGACATGAGTTTGAGCAAGCTCTGGGAGATAGTGAAGGACAGGAAAGCCTGGTGTGCTGCAGGCCATGGGGTCGCAAAGAGTCGGACACGACTGAGCAACTGAACTGAACTGGACTGCTAAGATCCTGAGCAGCATCCACGTGGGCCCTTGACTTTGACAAGGCAGATGTTACAGAAAGGAATGCAGCCAACCCTCAGACCTGAGATACATGTGGCTGCCTGTCTCCTTGGTCCATCACTAGTCAGGACACCTGCCTGCCACTTGCTGGCTTCAACTGGGTCCAGATTCAAGTAGGAGCCTCAGCGTGCTAACAAGAATGCCTTATGGCAAATACTTCAAAGAATAAGAGTAACTCCTCACATGCAAAGGACCCACCAGAGCTGCAAGCATATCCAAGTGATGGCTACCAAACAGCTGGTGTAGACAAATAAATGAGGATCTGGGTACCACAGTATGATCCTCAGATGCTGCATGGGCTTCACCTGTCACCCGGAGCAAAGACATTCCATCCACAGTTGCTCATGGAATTGATGCTAATCAGAGCCCTGTCTCTCTCTTCCATCAGTTTCTATCCAGCCATCACCCCAGCAACCTCTCTCTCCAACATCCCCCTCCACAGCCCCTCCCTATTTCACCTGACACCCCAGAGGGCTTTCTTACCACCTCTATGCCCTCCTTCTCCAGGCTTTCTGTTCCCAGCAGGCACCCCATCCTATCCACCCCCAAAATCATGTAAACCCTAATCCTCTCCAAGTTCTTCCCTGATCATCCTTACTCACTGCCTGGGGATGACCCATAGTGACTGCCTGGGGGTGAGGTCCCCCCAACTCTGCCTCATAGCAGAGACCTGAAATGCAGATGCCCTAGGGGGACCTAGGAATAGTTGGGTGACCTACTGTTTGAATCCCCACCAGCTGGATCCACAGAAGCTACTTTCTGAGTTTGGAGAAGGAAGTAAAAAGTGGTGACTGCAGGGCAGGTACAAGATTTAAGCAGGCACTCACTCTCAGGTTTCTGCAAATGTCAGCCCTGCACTTGTTCAAACCTGAAAGCTGGTGCCTCCTTAAATTGTGTGCCCTGGGCACCAGGATTGGGCCACTTTGGTCCTGGCCCTGCTGGCAGCTTCCCAGTTCCCAAGGGGAGGGTTGATGAGCTTCATATCAAAGAATAAAAGTGAGGTAAAAGGAGAGAACAGACCCCCTCTAGGCACCATCTAAGAAGAGGCTTGTACATGGTTTTTGCAGAGAGTTGGAGCCAGAATGCACATTTCAAGATGAAAACAGGACAGATAAATACAATGAGCAGTGTGAGTGCTGGATGGAAACTTCAGAACCATCGAGCACAGGCTGCCCAAGGAGGCTGACACAGAAGCACTGGGTCCGAGCCCTCAGCTGAGCCTTGTGAACACCAGTGAGCAGGACTATGAAAAAGAAGGAAGCAGGAGTCTTCTATGGCTTGTGAACCCACCTTGTTCATTTATGGTCACTTTACGTGGGAACTGTGTCTATAGAAAGTCCCCTTTCAGTGGGAAAATTGGTACACTAATTATAATAATTCCTATTTCACAGAGCAAGATAAATGGGTTTAATATATAAATTAAGCATATACATACATATCCTAACCACACGAAACATTTTCAAGCTCTCAAAGCATCTGCCTGCCAGTCCATCCTGACAGCATACTCCTCAAAATTCTGTCCCCAATTTCACACACGGGAGAACCCAGGCAGGTTGCTTTTGATTCCCCAGGGGCTTAGGAAGGGGAGTTGGGAAGAGGAAGGTCAAGGTGAAGAACCAGGTCAGCAGTGCTGTCCACTAATGTGCCGCAGACCGGAGGAGGGAGGGCAGGGCTCTGTCCCCCCTTGAGGTGCAGAACCACACCCTCTGCAGGGACGCCTCAGTGGGTGGGAATTCTGAGCACCCGGTGCCTGGAGTGAGAGGGGAGCTACCCCAGTGGCAGTCTTGGCGGGTCCTGTGGTTTGCAGGCTGTGCTCAGGCAGAGGGGACAAGAGAAGGGCCACGGAGGACCAGCCTGTGTTCTGCTGCCCTGACGCTAGTGCAGACACACATACAGAAGTGCAAGAGCTTGGGGTTGGAGAAGCAGTGAGTACGTCATTGCTGCAGCTTCCAAGAAGAGGGGCTAGGATTTGTGGTACCCAGACTGTGGGCTGTGGCTTTACTGAGTAGAACCTACAACTGTTTGGGACAAACCAGAGAGGGGATTATGGTGTTGGAGAAGACCCTTGAGAGTCCCTTGGACTGCAAGGAGATCCAACTAGTCCATCCTGAAGGAGATCAGTCCTGGGTGTTCATTGGAAGGACTGATGCTGAAGCTGAAACTCCAATACTTTGGCCACCTGATGCAAAAAGCTGACTCATTGGAAAAGACCCTGATGCTGGGAAAGATTGAGGGCAGAAGGAGAAGGGGACGACAGAGGATGAGACGGTTGGATGGCATCACTGACTCAATGGACATGAGTTTGGGTAAACTCTGAGAGTTGGTGATGGACAGGGAGGCATGGCATGCTGTGGTTCGTGGGGTCGCAAAGAGTCGGACACAACTGAGCGACTGAACTGAACTGAACTGAAAGAGAGGATGAATGATGTTATAGGCTGAATTGCATCCCCCCAAAATTCATGGCTCCCCAGGTGGTGCAGTGGTAAAAAATCCACCTGTCAATGCAGGAGATGTAAGAAATATGGTTTCGATCCCTGTCAGGAAGATCCCCTGGAGGAGGGCATGGCAACCCACTCCAGTATTCTTGCCTGGAGAATCCCATGGACAGAGGAGCCTGGTGGGTTACATTCCATGGGGTCACAAAGAGTCAGACACGACTTAGTGACTAAGCAAAGACACAAAATTCATATATTAAGGTCCTAACCTCTCGTACTTCTGAATGTGACTATATTTGGAGATAGGGTCTTGAAAGAGGTAACTAAGGCAAATTGAGATCATATGGGTGGGCTCAAGTCCAACAGGACTGGTGCCTTATAAGAAGAGGAAATTTAGACCCAGTCCCATTTCAGAGAGGAGGACACAGGGAGAAGATGGCTATCTACAAGCCAAGGAGAGAAACCTCAGGAGACATAAGCCCTGCCCACACATTGATCTCAGACTGCCAGGCTCCATAACTGAGAGAAAACAACTTTCTGTTGGTTAAGCCTCCCACCCTGCGGTATGTTGTTATGATAACTCAACCAAGTACATGGATGACCTAACAAGCACTTGGGGAAGACTCTCCAGGAATGGCTAGAAGAATCTTACGGGGAATTTCATTGTGTGGACATGGCACACAGCTTAACACTATTCATTTCTCCAGGGCTGGAGAAAGAAATGGCAACCCGCTCCAGTATTCTTTCCTGGAGAATCCAGTGGACAAAGGAACCTGGCAGGCTACAGTCCATGGGGTCACAAGAGTCAGGCACCACTTGGCGACTAAACCACCACCATTTCCCCAGGGCATCTTTAGTAAAATAGTTATCTCTTGTTAATGAGTTGTGAGGTTGTGTCTGTTTAAGAAGACACAAGGCAGATGCTGAATGTGGCCACAGAGGGAAAATTAAGCCATCCGTGAGAAGTCAGTCCCCACGAGTGACACAGGACGCATCTGAGGCTGCACCCCACACGTCTCCATCATGATCACTGGCCAGCTCCATGAGGACCCTGGCACTGAGTGCTCCTCCATCACGTCCATAGGTGGGCTCTTGGACCACAACTCCCATCCAGCCACATCTGTGCTCTTGGGGCTGTGGCACCCCAATACAACCAGCCATAAGACCAAGGATGCAAAGGCTCCATGACCCTTGTCTTGGACTCCCCAAGGACAAGGGTAATAGATAATAAATGTATGGTCTTGGATGATAAAAAAAGACTGAGTACTAAAGAAATGATGCTTTCAAATTGTAGTGCTAGAGAAGACTCTTGAGAGCCCCTCAGACTGCAAGGAGATTAAACCAGTCAATCCTAAAAGAAATCAACCCTGAATATTCATCGGACTGATGCTGAAGCTAAAGCTCCAATACTTTGGCCACCTGATGTGAAAAGCCGACTCATTGGAACAGACCCTGATGCTGGGAAAGACTGAAGGCAGCAGAAGGGGGCAACAGAGGATGAAATGGTTGGATGGCATCACCAACTCAATGGATATGAGTTTGAGCAAATTCAGGGAGATAGTGAAGGACAGGGAAGCCTGG